GGGGGCTGCCGAGGCAGACACCGCTCCATCCCCTCCCTGCCAGGCTCTCAGCTGCCCCCAGGACAACTGCTGCACGATGGGGAGAGGGCTCAGGGCAGGAAGTGCGGTGACCCCAGCCTCAGGAGCTCCCCCCGGGCCACAAGCCAGACTGCGAACTATGGGAGCCCCTCCAGAGACTGGCCTTTGGGCTCTCTACCCTGCTAGGGTGCAGGTGACAGGCAGAGGTCTCACAGAAGCTCTGCAATGTGACTGCCTGTCTCATGTCAGCCCCGCTGCAGTAGCCCACACAGACAGACACCGCCCCCTCCCTCCAGCTGCAAGCAAAGAGCAGAAGAGGGGAGAGTGACACAGCCACACCCTTTAATGGCCCCACATGGGGCTGGGCCCAGGTTAGAGCCCATCCGGGGCCCCTGCCAGCCTTGGGGGCTCCCTCCTGCCCTGGAGGCTCATCAGGAAGCTGCTGCCAGGAAGCCTTCAGAACCACTGGGGCTGCTTGGGACAGGCTGGCACAGTGAGCGTGTCCATGATCAGGTGGGCCACACTCAGGGCCCACCCCTTCCACTGCCCCCAGATGCCTCCACCCTGAGCCCTCTGCCCAACGTAGGAGCTCTGCCCTGTGTTGCTCAGGAACCCGAGCCTGCAACTCTTCTGCCCAGGAGGCTGGGAGGGGCCTGCCATCTCTCTGTCTGTGTGGATGTGGGGCATGTCTATATATGTTACTTGTGTATGTGTGGATAGATAGCTGTGTGTGAGCTTGGCATGCACTAGACTCCCAAGTCTGTACAGGGGCTGGCTGGGCCCCAGCTGGGTACCAGCCATCATTTTTTCCGGGCCAGGAAGACCACACCGAGAATCAGGGCTGCGGCTGCCATAGCCACCCCCCCAGCCACCAGCAGGGGCGTCAAGTTCTCGAAAGGGCAGGGACCTCGGCCCCCTGGGCCTCCACTGGGGGCCTCGTCCTCCTCAGCCCCGTCTCCAGGGCCCTTGGGCTCCGGGGTTGCATTGGGGCTGCTGGGGGCCGCAGGGGCTGGCTTCAGGTTGCTGTGGTTGTTGAGAAGAGCAGGGTCTGCCTTGGCCGGAGTCTTCTTGGCAGGTGGTGGGGTGGGGGCTGCGGGTGGCTCCTGCTTCTCCACTTGGGCCTCCTTCTTCCCAGGTTTGGCCGAGGGGGCTTTCCCATCTGCAGCCGGGGGGCCTTTGACCTCAGCACCGGCCTGGGGCACCTTGGTGTCGGGCTTGGGGCTGCTGGCCGACTTCCCTCTGGACTCCATGGCTGCAGCGCTGTGTGGGGCGTGTTACGTACAGGCAGGTGGCTGGACCACAGCAGCTCAGGACAGCTCACCGCTGGGCATTACCTGGGCCTGGAGGGAGATGCAGTGAGGCCCCTCTGTCCCACCCCCACCACCCTGTCCCTGTAGAGGCACCGCCCAGTTCTCTGGACACTTCCACCCCCCCACACCTCCCAGGAGCCCAGGTTCAGAATCATCCTCTTCCAGGGCCTGGCCTCCACCCATTCCCAGCTGCTCCCTGAGAAGCCCCTCCCACCACACAGGCAGGGGCCCACATGGCTGGCTGGGGATATGGGGGATGAGACCAGCTTAGAGGTCACAGTTTCCTCATCTGTAGAATGGTCTTGCCCACACGTGTGCTATGTCCATCACACTGGCCCAGGGCAGGGGTCCCTGATGCAGAGTGCGAGCCTACCCAGCCCTGAAAAGAGAATACGGTCAGGGGAGAAGGACAGCAGCCAGGGTGGGCCTGGGCAGAGCCAACTGTGTATCCTTCTCAGGAGAAGAACTGAGTCCAAGTGGACGGGGGTCAGGGCAGGTGGGAACCTGGGCCTGGGCTCTCTGGTGCCGGCAGGGGAGGAGTGGGCCCAAGGCCCCCAGGACCTGGATTGGACAAACCTGAGGTATCTCCCAGGAGGCTGGAGAAGCCAGCAGACCAGCTGCCCCTCCCCAGCTCCCGGCGCCCACTCCCAACACCAGCCTCACCTACTCCAGCTCAAGGGCAGGGCGTCCTTCCTGAGCTGGAGGCTGCACCTGCTTTGGGGGGCAGAGGGGATCCCTGGCATTAGCCTGGGGCGGGCACACGCCGTCAATCAGCCTCAGCATCTGGGCCAGGTGGAGGATGGGGGTCTGGGCTGTAGGAAAGGCCTGGCTCGGATCCTTCATGTCCAGGACAGGGGGAGGAGTGTGGAATGGGCGCCTCGCCTGAGTGATCCCTCCCTGCAGACCTAGACACCACCTGTCTGCCTGTCGCCTGCGAGGGTGAGAACCACCCACCCCACCTCCAGGGAGAGGGGACCATGACAGCTCCAGTTGTTCAGCCCGGCCAGGCACACTACCCACACCGAAGGTTGCCTGAAGGTCACAGCATGATGGGGGCGTCCCAGGGAGACCCAGCGGCGCCTCACCCCCTGCCGTTCTGGAGGGCACGCAGATGCTGGGCGTCAAGCAGGCCAAGGGCAGGTGGTCTGCCTCCCCCGACCTACCCTCGGTTGTTTTTAGCTCACACTGATGTCACCCGGCTGCCCCCTCCCCCTCCCCGGGGCTGCCGTGCCCCGGAGACTGATGACCTTCAAGGCGGGGAACCGCCGCTTCGCCCCGCGGGCCCCCGGGCCCCCATCCCGCCCCGGCCCCAGGCCGCGGAGCCCCCTGCCGCCTTACGCTGCTGTTCCCGCTGTCCCACCTCCGCGCTGCGCGCTCTTCCTTGGACCACACAGGAGGCGGGCGGCGGCTCCTGGCTGCGGCTGCGAGGACTGGGAGTTTCCCACAATGCAGCGCTCCCGGCGCAGTGAGTGGGGGCGGGGCCGCACCCGCGCCGGCTCCGCCCTCGCCCGCCCCCTGGCGCCGCGGCGCCCCAGAATGGCTGGAAACGCTGGGGCCCCCGAACCCAGCTCTGCTTTTTTTTTTTTTCTTAGCTGAGCCATCCTGCTACCTGTTGGCAGCTCAGTGGCTGCTCAGCTCGGGCTGGACTCGAACCGCTGTTGCTCAGAGCTCAACCTCTTGAGCGAGCTCTTAACCAACTGAGTCACTCTTCGGGCCCTCCAACTCCGCTTTTAATCCCCAGGATGGTTAACGGTCAAGAGGGTAAGACATTCAGGCTGCCCTTCCTGCAGCCCCAACACAGACTGCGGGGGAGTCAGGAGGCGGTTCCTCCCAGGACGCCCTCCAGGCCAATGTGCCCCTCGGTGGACCCAGGTCTGCAGGAGCGGAGCCAGTTACAAGGGGGCTGCCCTTCCCGTCAACCCCCAACAGAGTCTGAGAGAGGACACATCTACTTAGAATATTTATTTATCTTCTTACATGACAAGACACAAAAAGTCACTTCTTAAAACTCCTCAAAAGAAAAAAAATATAAATCTGTAAGCAGCAGCCTCAGCTTCCAAGGTACAGATGTGATGGGAGCAACCGTGAACTGGGGACTAGGGGCCAGGACTGAGCCCCAGTAGTGTCGCTGGGAAGGAGCCTCCTCCAGGGGGCCTGGGTGGGGGGACACAGCACCAGCACTTCAGGACCAATCACCAACACGATCACGTGGGGGAGTGCCTGCCTCAATTCACAACGTGGACAGTCTGGGGGCCAGGTGCACAGAGGGGTGCAATGTGGTCAGGGGCCTTACGCAGAGGCCCAGGAAGTGGAGTGGGCCCTGAAGGGGCAGCTCCTGGACCCCCACCCCCACAAGCAGTGTGGGTGCCCCCATTCTGGTCTCTGTGCTTGCCCTTCCCCCTTGTCCTACACCTGGGGTGGGGGTCTCAGAGAGGGGTCAACTGAAGGTGCAGCAACAGGGGCTAGGCTGGAGCACGAAATTCCTGGACGAGGTCAGCAGGGAGCCGGGGGCGCACACAGCACACACACAGCGCCTGGCCATATGGGAAGAGCAGCGGCCTCCACAGCCCCAGTCCACAGTGGGCTCCTCACAGCATTCGCACGCACACACAGACCTCACGAGCTCTGGGCCCTCAGCCTGGGGTGGGGCACAGGCCCACCAGGACGGGTGCTGGGTCCCACATTGGGGGTAGGGGGGTTTCCCTGGGAGTCAGAGCTCAGTGTGATCCCCCAGCCTGGGATTCCTGGCTCAATATGGGGGTCAGGAGACCCCGATCCTCCTGCAAGGCTGGCAGAGGTGAGAACAGCAGCAGAGGGGGTCTGGACTGATGGACGGAGGGCTGGGCAGAGCCACTTGTGCTCAGCAAGTTAATAAATAGGTTTGTGCAGGGTCCCCTTTGTGGACTAGGGGCCACGCCTCGGGGACGGGCTGGTAGCCTGGAGGGTAGGGTCCAGCTTGCCCAGCCCACGCCGGGGGGCCTCCAGCCCAGAGACCAGCTCTGATCGGGGAGTGTTCAGGCCGGGTGGGAGCTGGGGCAGGGCTGGCTCCAGGAATGTAAAGATTTCTGCCGTTTCTACATAAATAAGACATTGATCCCAGTGGTTGTGCAAGCAGGACCCCTCGGGGTTTGTGTGTGGACCCTGTACCCCTTCCTCTGCCTCCCCCATAAACGTGTGGAGGGGCGGGAAAGACTTCCCTTGCTCGGTCCTGGGCAGGCCACCTGGCCCCGGCCCCACTCTGGTCCTGCTTGGTGTGGGCGCGGGGCGGCCTGGGCTCAGGGCTGGGGGCGCTGCAGCAGCCCCAGCAAGGCCTCCGCGATGCCCAGGAAATAGACCACCTGGGCGATTCCAAACAGCGGCGCGATGACCAGGGCACGGCAGTAGGCGCCCTTCAGGAAGGCTGAGGGGCCCTCATGCCGCAGGATCTTCCTGTGGGGAGAGGGAGTTAGAACCGTGCCAGGCCCCAAGGCCCTTACCCGCCCCGGCGGGCCTCACCCACCTGGCGCAGTCCAAGAACCCCGAGTAGGTGTCTTCGTTGACCCCACGCTGGAGTGACTGCAGCCGCGTCTTAACCACTGCAAGGGGGTTGTGTGCGTCAGCCAGCATGGGGGTCCACTCACCTCCAACCCCATCCCCTAAGCGCCCCGCCCCCAGCCGGAGGCCCAGGCCCAGACACTGACCATCACAGGGGTTGACAGCCACAGCGGCCGTACTCCCGGCCACACAGCCGGCCAAGAAGGACACGTAGAAGGGAGATTTCTCCCCGGATGCCGGCTGGCCCAGCTGGTTCAGGTTGGCAAAGAGGGGGAAGTAGACGATGGAGAAGGGGACATCCCTGCAGGGAGAGGCCGTGGTGACCGGGAGGCGTGGGCAGACCTCCTGCCTCCCTCCTCCAGGCCTCTCCGGCCCTCCCACCTGAGCAGTGTGGCCCCTAGTCCCTTGTAGAGGCCAGCAATGCCACGGCTGCGGAGCAGGTCCCGGGTAAGCTGGGTGGCCGTGGGCCGAGTGACGGCCGGAGCCTCCGCCGAGGGCTGGGCGCCCCCTTGGGTTGAGAGCTGTGCCTGGGCGGCCATGATCTTTTTCTGGGCGGCTGGAGAGAAAGGGGACAGGCCTGCTGGTCTCCCTCCACGTGTGAGGTGGGGGTACGGGACGGGGCCCCCCGCCGCTCCCTGCAGCCTCACCAATGCGGCCTGCGTCCTGAAGCTGGATCTTCAGCATCTCCATGGGGGTCGTTACGATGACCTGGCAGGTGCCAGCCCCGCAGCCCGCCAACATCTCCCTATACAGGGTCAGCTTCTGCCTGCAGCACAGCGGGGAAGGGCCATGGTGAAGAGCCGTAGCCCTGCTGCCCAGAGCTGCCCGCTGCTCCCGCCCAGGGGCAGTGGAGACAGATGCAGCCCGGTGGGCACAGCACCCCCAGCCTCACACATCCCTCCAGCAACGGGCACCGAGCCCAACAGACAGATGGCCCCACGGCAGGGCCTGGGAAGGGGGGCGGGGCCATTCTTAAGCACAGAGAAATGGAGACGCTGGGGGTCTCCAGGACCCCAAGGGCTACCCTTTCAGCACCACCCTCTGGTGACAGGAAAGCTGGTCAGTGCCCCCAAATCCCAGCCTGCAGGGGAGGCCGAGGACCACGGGAGGGGGGGCTGAGCAGCACTGACTCACCATCTGCCTCACTCCTCCCAAAGCAGGGGGCAGGGAGGACAGAGGCGGAGGAGGACCAGCAGCAGGAAGAGGCCCTGCAAGGTCAAGGTGAGGGTGGCGGAGTAGAGCCTCTGTCCTTTGTCTGGAGGCACAGACCCCTCCCTCTCATGACCTTGGCGCCCAGCAGCCTGGCAGGGCTAAGCCCCTCACCCGTCCTTGGAGAGCTGATAGCGGAAGAAGTCGTTAGCTGCCAGCTTGATGGCCTTCTCAGGGGTGACGAGGGTCAGGTTCACTGCGGCTCCTGTGGGGCACGTGGTGTGTGGGGGGGCACCGGCAGATCAGTGGTCCAGGCCGGGAGGCACTCAGCCAGCACGCTGCCTCCCAGCTGGCAAAGCCCTTCCCGTCACTCCTTGGCCGTCTCCTCCTGCCCTCTCACCCACATTTGTGCCAGGCGGGGGTGGGGACCAGGCAGGATAGGGCAGCCTCCTTCTCCGGGCACTCTGCTCACCCTCCCCCATGGCCCTGCCACGGTAGCCGGGTGGGCATCCCCGAGTACGGCCTCCCCTGGGGGACGGAAGGTGCTCGCAGTGCCAGAGGCACTGGGTGAGAGGACACAGGTGCACTTGGCTCTGTGTAGCCTGGTGTGGGGGCCGGGGAGGCGATGGCAAGCCCCTCGGGGTTGGGAGGGCTCAGGGCTGCACAGCATCTGGGCAGATCCAGGCGTGGGGACTGTCTAAGCTGCTTTGTAGTAATGCCCTCCTCCGTCCCAGTGTCCCAGCACAGACAGGGTCCTGCCTGTTCCAGAAGGCAGGGGAGGTGGCCACCATCGATGACACAGTGTCCTGCCGTGCTGAGAGCTGGCAGTAAGTAGGGGATGGGGGGATACCCAAGAAGACAGGGGTGCTGAGAACTGCCAGTCCCCAGAGATCCTGCCCTTGTCAAACAACTCCCCCAACCCCAACACCCAGGGCCGGGCTGATGGCCCCCCAGTGCAGGTTCAACCAGCCCCCACAGGACATGTCCACACTTATACACCAAGCCCAGGCCTGCTGCCCCCTGCCTTCCCCGCTGCCTCCCAGCCACGACGGCAGCCCCCTTCAGGTTGTGGGAGGCTACCCAGGCCTGCCCCGTCCCGAGCCTCACCACGGTACATGCCGAAGTAGCCCTCTGAGCGGATGGTCTTGATGAGACAGTCAGACCTGCAGCCAAGGGATGCGGTGAGCCCTGCCCCAGGGAGGAGCTCCCCCAGGCCTGCCCTGCCCTCAGTTTCCCCTTTTGTTAAGTAAGCAGGGTGGGGGGACCCAGCAGCCGCAGCTCACCCTGCACCCACGCCCACAGCCCACCGGGCACTCACAGGCTGGTGTATATGCGCTGACCATTCTGCTGGTTCTGCAGCCTCGTCTTGGCCAGGTCAATGGGGAACACGCAGGTGACCCCAATCAGCCCGGCGATGCCGCCATTGATGAGCTTGGCTGGCAGACTGTGGGCACAGGGAGTGTCAGGACCTATGGCCTCCCGGGCCACAGGGCAGGGGATTGGGGAGGGTGCGGCCACCACAGGAGGCAGGGCTGCATTCTGACCTGATCTGCTTATCGGCCATTTAAGTGAGCCACCAGGTAGGAGCGGGGAGGGTGAGGCAGAAGCAGCAGGTGGGTGGATGGGGACGGAGTGGTGAGGGGTGGTCCTCCACTTGCTGGGGAATTTCAAAACCGGCTTCAGTCCTGAAAGGAAGAGGGGACTGGAATCAGTGGGGGTGGGACAGACCACTAAAAGGCACAGCGAGGGACAGGCCCCTCCCCACCACCCAGGCAGAGACACCAATGTGACCTGGGGGTGCGGCAGGGGGTGGTGGTGCCAGGCACCCGGTTTCCCCTCAAGGTCCCCCACAGGCGGCTGGTGGCGTCTTCCCAGCACCTGCTCACGCTCACGCTCACGTGCACACGGAGCACAGTCTTTAAAGGGCCAGGCACCTGGTGGGGGGGGGGCCGCGGCAGGGGCTGGCAGGAAGGGGCCAATTTGCCAGCTGGGGTGCCTGGACCCTGGACTAGGCTGCAGCTCTGCCCCCAACCTTGGGCAGAGGCCACTGGGAAGGCCTCTTTAGGAGGAGGTTGGAGTCTCCTCACGGGCTCCTTCCTGACCCACCTGGGCTCAGCTCACGGCTGCCCAGGAAGACGCTGCCACCTCAGGTGCAGCCCCCACTCTCGTGGCAACTCCACACTGGACCCCGGGATGTCCCCTTCCCTCGGAGAAGCACCGTTCTCACCCACACTCAGCCCTGCCCCACCCCCACCGTCCTCCTCTCCACCCCTCCCAGGAATTTCATTCCCAGACAGACAGACACACACACACACAGGACCTCTGGAAGCCTCAGGGGTGTGTGAGCACAGTGGCGGGGCAGCTAGAAGGTGGACAGCTAACCTTCTAAGGCTCCCTGTAGCTGGTCCCCTCATCCACTCTAGAGTGGGGGAAAAAAGGGGTCTCTCTCACTAGGGGCAGGGAGAGGGAGCTAGAGCCAGCCTCGGGGGGTCTCCCATGGAGAGGAACGGCCATCAAAACTGATTTGCGGGGGCCTCCTGTCGTCCGCCGCCCCCCCCCTCACCCCCGGGCCAGCTGTCACTGGCTCGCCCACAGCACCGCCACCCAGGGTCATCCAGCTGGCTCGCAAATGCAGTCCCCTTGAGGACCGATGACCTTCACCTCAGCTTTCCCTGGCCAGGCCTCAACCCCTCGCCTGCCCCCCACCCCCAGTCCCCCACCATCCCTGCTGCCTCTGGTCTGCTCACCCTCGGTGCACAGATCTCGCTCCTCTGAGACCAGTCTGCAGGCTCGGCTCACAGAGACCTAGCGGCTGAGGGAGGGAGGGAGGTGCGGCCACGGGGATCGGCCACGGGGATTGGCCTCTGGGCAGGGCGGGGCGGGCCTGGGAGGGGAGGACTTTCTCTTTCACTTTGGGTGTGCTGAGGTTCCCTGCGGCTGTGGGAGAAGGGATGAGAAGGGGTGTGACAGCTTCTGGGAGGCACAGCCCAGCCTCAGACCTCCACAGCCCAAGGGCAGTGGGTCCAACTCACACTGACCCAGCTGAGCCAGGCCACCTGCCCACAGAGACGCCAGCCTCTGGCCACCTGCCCCCAGCTGCCCCACGGGTTCCTGTCTGCAGCTTGCAGGTTACCTGTCTAGGGCCCTGGACCCCTGGGCATGGGCCTTTTTGTGCTCAGGCTCCCATGGGCCCCTGTTGGGGAATGGGTGCTATGGGGTGGAGATGGGTTAGGGGCCACACGTGTCTGTGGGACTCGTGTGTCCATTGAGGGAAGGTGCATTTCAGGGAAACCTGGTGCTGGGTGTCAGAGGAAGGCCCTCCTGTCTGCTGGTAAGGCCAGGGAAGGGGTGGCTGGCTGTCAAGGGGCCACTGGCTACCACCTGCAGGCCTGCTCACCTGGCAGGTCCAGAGGTGATGCGAACCAGCACTCCCAGCGCCCTCTGCCCTGCCAAGCCCCCACCACCCAACACACCCTGGGCCCGTATCAGGACCTGCTTCTCTGTGCAGCAGCCTGCAGAGGAGTCTGACCTCTGAGCTTCAACCCGACCTCTCCCTCCCTACCCCACCCCTCGCATCTTCCCCGTGTAGACTGGCCACAGCCAGCTCGCTCTGCTGCCCCAGACCCTCAGGGGCAGAGTCTACATCCCTACTCTGGTCTTCTGAGTCTCTCCCTGCCCTCTGGGGTCTGAGTGAACCCTGCCTTCCCTAGCGTCACCAGACCCCACCTCCTGTTTAGGGTTAGGGACACCTAGATGACAAGGGTCCTGGAAGTCAGACCACCTAAGTTAGGAAAGGGAACCGTTGTCCCCAAAAGAGAGGCAGGCCCGGAGATGCCAGGCTTGGGAAGAGTCAGCCCTGGGGCCCCGTGTCACAAGTTCCTGGAGGCCAACCAGGAACAGTGAGAGTGAGGGGCTCCTGCCTGGGGAGGACTGGAGAGGTGTCCTCTGGACCCTCCTGAGGACGCCTTTTTCTGTCCTCACTCCGTGGTTTCCATCCCTTGCTTATGAGGCAGCTGTGGGGGGGCCTCCCTTGCACCCCATGTTGCCATAGAAACCGGGCAGCCCCAGCCCGGACCGAAGCCCAGAGCTGGCAACCTTCACTGTCCACCCTCTGCTTCCACAGCCAGGTAAACCGTGGGCCAGTCAGGCTGTGGACACACAGCACCTGTGGGAGGATGCCCCTGCTGCCAGACCCCCAGGCAGAATCTGACACAAATGTAGCCGCTGAGCGCTCCCACCCCCAAGAAAGGCGATGGGGGTGAGGCTCAGAGTCTGGGATTGGCCACTCGCTCCCCCCCGGCTCGACCTCCCCTCCCCAGTCCCTTTCCCCTGGGGAGGTGCTTTCTGTCCTGCCGGCTAGAGGGCCCCCAACCCGCAGACAAAGGAGGCACAGGTGGGGGCTGCAGGCTCTTCTCGGAGGCGGGCTCAGCCCTGTCCTGTTGGACGGGGTCCAGAGGTGGCCCCAGAGGGCTACGCTGTCCTCCGCCAGGCGATGGCGACTCAAGCCACCCACGTGTCCACACACGTCCGGCAGGGTCCCACGTGTGTCTCCTCCCTCTCCCTCCCCCCCACCCCCCACGGCCTGGCCTCTGCTCCCTGGGCTTCGGTCCCAGGCTCCTACCCCGCGGGGACACATGTGCGCGGGGAGCGCGTCCACTACCGCCCGGGCCTGCGCACGGCCTCCCACACCCGGGAGGCAGCGGATTCGCTCATCCGCCGACCAGGGCCCCCATCAGAGTCGCCTTGTCCAGGCAGTTGTCACCTCCCCGGGCCGCCTCCGCGCCCCTCTACCCCGCAGCCGGACCGCACTCGGTTGGGCGCAGTGGAAAGGAGCGGCCAGCGGGCACTCACCGCGCTCTGCCACCGCCGCCGCGCTCGCCTCCCCGCCGTGCCGCGCACCCCGCTGCATAGGCGCGTCGGCTCGGCGCAGGGCGCGCTCCGCCCCCGGACCGGGCAGCACGCGCGCTGTGGCTCCCCCTCCCGGCCGCAGCGGCCACTACTCTGGGCCGGGCCGGGCCGCAGCCTCGCGCCAGCCTGCACCCTGTCCAGGCCGCGGGCCCCCAAAAACCTGCATGGCGGGGACCCAGAGATAGTCCCGTCGGGCCAGAGCGTGGTGGAGAGCGCTGTGATGATAGTGTCCTCCGGGAGGAGCGTGCGGGCCACACAGTGGTGCTCCAAGGGGACTACGCTGTAACAGCCGGCAGAGCAGAGGCACAACCACCCCCAGGGGACTCTGCATCCATTACTTTGTGGCCCGGCTACCTTCCCTCACAGGGAAGGTCAGGACACATGGGAGGGCCAGAGCAAGGGCCGGGCGCTGTACACAGGCGCCATTCCCAGCAGGGGCCCGGCCACTGTCTCCACCCAACAAACCAGCCAGACTGAGCTCTGAGACAGCAACCAGAACAGTGCATGTTTGTTACACAAAGATCACTGTCCCCTACACAGGGGAGGCTTGAAAGTGGGGGCCTCTGTGCCCCGGCCACAGCACACCAGGGGCCAGCCCAGGCTTGGCAGGGTCTAGGCCTGGGCAGGCTCTGGGGATTTTGATTCCGAAGGGTCAGGCAGGGCAAGGCCCCTGGGGGCCAGGCTTGTGCGTCGGATGCCATCCTGGTACTTGTGGCGGCCGAGCTCCAGGACGGCCCGCACCTCTTCGGCCACATCCTGCCGGTCGCTCTGCTCCAGGGCCTGCACAAGGAGCCCCACAGCCCCTGGCTGCCCAGCCTGGCGCTCAGCCCAAGAGAACAGCATATGTCGGATCTGCCCGTCCAGGTCATCCCTGGGGAGAGGGGTCATGGTGACTGAGGGGCCCAGCCCAGGACCACCACACTCAGTGTCCTGCTCGCCCGCCCGCCTGCCCGCCCTGCAGAGAATTTCTGCCAGCCTCAAGTAGGGCCCCTCCAGCAGCTGGGCTGGTGGCGGGAGGCTCTAAGGGACCCACCGGAACTCATGCCGGATGCGCTGCAGTTGCTGGTAGGACACACCCAGGTGAAGGGCCACAGTGGGCCAGTCAGGGCCCAGGCGCCCGGCGACACTCAGCAGGTTGCTCTGGGTCAGGAAGCCAGTCTCAGCATCACCCAGGTTCAGGGGTGCCAGAGAGAGGCTAGCCCTGTGGCCTGTCCCCTCAGAGCGGGGCAGTCTCTGTAGGGAGGACGGCTACAGTGAGCTCGGCCCCCTCTTCACACACACACACACACACACACACACACACACACACACACACAGTGCCCCATCCCCGGGCCCACCGGCAGCTTGATGGGCAGAGTGGCCATCCACAGGGCGTCCGCGCCCTTCCTCTGCCGGGCAGCCTGCGCCTCCTCAGGCACCTCGTCAGGCACTGCTCCCCGATAGAAGGACACCTGGGGCAAGACAAGATGGGGTTCAAGGCTCCGGCCTCTGCCCAAGTAGCCCGGGGACCCTGCCCCATGGGCCCACCTGGCCCCTCACGGCCTGAGCCTGGCGGTCCAGACTGCTGGTCACATACACCTCCTTCACGTTCTTCAGGTGTGAGTAGAACACGAAGCACACTCTGCCCTCCACGCAGTCGGGGCGGTCTGGGGGTGGGGGAGCTTAGTAGGGGGCCTGGGGCAGACCCCGGGGCCCCCCTTCAGGGTTAGGGGCATACCAGCATCCACGTCGATGCCTCTCTCGAAGGCGGCAAAGAATCTCTCACCCTCGAACATCTCCACTGTGTCAGAGGGCTCAGGGCCACGGTACCGCTCCAGCAGGCGCCTCAGGGTCGCATCCACCTGGGGGCACCCTCGGCCTCAGAGCCCGACACCGGGCACCCCGGCCCGCCCCCCGTGACGTGGCCGGGCCCCACCTTGCTGCGGGGCAGGCACTGCAGCAGGACCTGCTCGGGGTCCCGGCGTCTCTGCAGGGCGATGAGGTTGACACGGTGGAGCCGTAGCCGCTGCCAGGCCTTGCTTGCCAGGCGCCCCACACAGGTCTTGGTGGTGTACCACAGCCAGTACCTGGGGGCTGGGGGTGAGGTGGGGCTGAACACGTGGGGCTGGGTGGGGAGGGGCCGAGGAGGCTGGAGGGGACACTAACCAGGAGAAGTGCGTGACCTGGAAGCGAGCATACAGGTGGGTGAGCTCGAGTGCCACTTGGGCCGTGATGTCATCCCAGGTGGCCACAGGAGGGGCCCGGTACAGCAGGTGCAGGCGGGAGCGGTCCAGGCTCAGGCCTAGGGACAGGAGGGGACGGGTTGAGGCCTCCGGGCAGGGGCTCCCCTCTGAGCACTGCCCCCACCCCGTGGCCATGAGTCCAGCTATGCCATGTGGCCGCCTCTTACCTGTGATGCCAGGGGGCAGAGGCAGCTGCACCGTGACTGGCCGAAGGAAGCTGGAGGGGTCACTCTGGGACAGGCACAGCAGGGGGCTCACGGATGCCCCTGGTTCCTGCAACAGGGCCTGCAGCTCCCTGCCCGCCATGCGCACCACCTGGACAGACAGGCCACCTGAACACACAGCTTTGTGCCGAGGCACCACCTGCCACCCTTGGCAGCTGTTCTGCCTTTACCTGCATGCGGACGTGACGAGGCTCCTCAGTGGCTCCAGGGGGAAATGTGATCTTGACCCCAGGATGTCCCGAGGAGAACAGCAATGTCCCCTCAGGTGGCACCAGGCAGGCGTTGGACACAGGGCGTGAAACCACAAGGAACCACGAGAAGTGGGGTACCTGGCAGTGAGCCCAGAGCCTCTGGGCACGGCGGAGGGGTCAGAGGGAACATGGTCAGAGGGTCCAGGCAGAGCTGCCACCCAGGGGTCCTTCCCGGGCCGCCCTGCACAGCCTTCACCTTCGGTGCCTCCTCTTCCAGGCGGGTCTCCAGGTCACTCCAGCTGTCGTCACTCAGGGTCCTCACCACCACCTCACGGCAACGCCGGGACCGTGGGGGCACGAAAAGCAGCCACAGGCTCACCTCCTGCCGTGTACGGGTGCTGTCAGCACCGGGGCCATGCCTGGGCCTCCTCACCTGCCCCCCGACCTGCCCTGGCCGTGCCTGCTGGAAGGCCACCCCATGGGGCTGCAGTTCCAAGACACCACTGAGCAAGGAGTCATGGGGACCGAGGGGGACGAGGCGCGGCTCCGGCAGCCACAGTCGATAGCGGATGGTGACAGAGGTAGCAGTGGCACCGGCAGGGAACTGCAGGCGGACACCGCAGGCCAGGGTCACAGAGCAGCCTTGGGGGGTCACGGGGAAGCTGAATGAAGGCAGGGTGGGCATCAGGTCAGACACAGGCGCCCGTATGTCCGAGCCTGGCCCCGCTAGGGACTCGAGAAGAGGACCCCCAAGCATGCGGACAGGGCGGCTAGCTGTCCCTTCAGCCCCACCTCTCCTCCACCCCATACCTGTCCAAATCTGAGGTCAGGAACAGTCTGGGCATTTCCGGGACCATGGGTGTCCCTGTGGAAGGAAAGGCAGGTTGTTAGGATGGTGACGGTACCTGTGTCCCGTTCGTGGTCTGCCCTCCCCAGCAACAAGCCTACCTGGGGGACTGTGGGAGTCTGGCAGGGCCTTGCCCAGGGGGTTCCCCTGCAGGCGCACAAAGGGGGCGTCCAGCAGCTCGGGGGGCACGTCCCGGAGCTGGTTGTCCCTCAGGTCCAGCCGGGTGAGCAGTGGGAGGCGGGCCAGGCCGACGGGCACGGAGGCCAGGAGGTTGCTATGCAGAACAAGGAGGCGCAAGGAACGCAGCCCCGCTGTGGGCAGGCGCCGGCTTAGGGCCAGCAGAGGGCCATTCAGGGCCACCCCCGGCCCAGAGTGCCAGAGTGCTAGGGCCTCCCTGGAAGTCCTTTAGTTGCTGCCCCATGGCCGGACACAGAGAGCTCAGGCAAGCCTGCCCAAGGAGCCTCCGAGGCCAGGGCAGCGGGGGGTGGGGGGCAAACAAGGGCCATCTCGGGTGGGTGAAGGCTCGAAGGTGGGCCGGCCTGTGTGCAGGGGCCCTGCAGAAGATGAGGGCCCACAGGAGGGTGGAGGCCGGACACTGGCTGAGGGGCTCCCCAGCAGGCCCTGTGAGCCAAGGAGGGTGCTGCTGGTACTCACCAAGGGAAGCTGGGAGGCTCTGCAGCCGGTTGGAGGCCAGACTGAGCTCGGCGAGGCTGCTCAGGCCTCCGATCTCAGGGGGCAGAGTGTCCAGAAGGTTCTCCGAGAGATCGAGGCGCTGCAGGGTGGACAGGGCCCCCAGGGCCGTGGGTAGCGCTCGCAGGCGGTTGTGGGTCACAGCGAGGAAGGTGAGGGAGGGAAGGGCCCCCAGGGCCTCAGGCAGCTCTGAGAGCTGGTTGTGAGACAGAAGCAGGGCACCCAGGCTGCACATCCGAGGGACGCAGGCCGGCAGTGTTTCCAGGCTGTTGAAGCTCAGATCCAGGTGGACCAAGCGTGCCAGGCCACTCAGGCTGGCGGGCAGCGTGGTCAGGGAGCCCCGGAGGCAGGCACCCAGCGCATTCCGGCGTTGCCCACCTGGGAAGGGGGAGACAGATGTGGCCCCCAGTCCCAGGTCCCAGCTTGGCCCTGCCAGCCAGGGAAGGCGTTGCGTGGAGGGAGGCACACCTGCAGTCCCACCCCACCGGACAGGGGCAGACAGCTGCAGGAGATGGAGGGAGGCAGGGACCGAGGCCGCGGGCTCATCCCAGCTGACAGCCATCACCCATGACCCCCAGGAAACACACGCTCTCTGGGTCTGCTGGGAGACCCCACGGGGCAGCTGCAGGGTCCAGGAGCTGGAGCTCAGCCGGCGTCCCGTGAGGGGAGGAGGGTTGGGTAGAGCTGTGCAGGAAATAGTGATGGGGCCGGGGCCGGGGTTGGCCTCTGAGGACCAAGAAGCTGAGGCAGGAGCTAGAAATGGGGCTGGGACAGGGCTAGGACCCGATGGGGCTCACCTTTGAGGACCAGGGAGCGGAGGTGTGGCAGGCTCCACGCCACCCGGGCCAGGGTGGCCTCCAGCAGCTGAGGGTCCTCGTGGGTGCTCAGTTGCAGGAACTCCACCTCCAGCAGCTGAGGGGGCTCCTGGGCACACAGGTGCAGCAGCCGCTGGCAGCCCCCAGGGTACAGGTCCAGGCTCAGCCGGTTCCCAGCCAGGAGAGGAGGTGCCGCAGGCCCCGCATCCACAGTATCGGTAGCATCTTCTGCAGCATCTTCTGCAGCAGCCAACTGGGGTTCCAGCCCCTCCTCCACTGCAGCCATCGCCCCCTGGCCGTCCTCGGGGGCCAGACATGTCCCAGCTTGCCGGGCAGGCCTGCTCAGGCAGGGCCCAGGGAGGCTGCTGTCAGGATGAGGAGCGGGTAGGCGTGAGGCTGGACCCTCCTCCCACGCAGGGACGCCGGTAAGGGGGAGATCTTTGGGCCCCTGCCAGCTGGTCCACAGATCCCAGAGCCTAGGCTGGACGGATCATGGTCGATCATTGCTGAAATGGGGCTGTTGAATGGGACCCCAGGGCTGGGAGGGCAGCAGGCAGGGAGAGCACTGTGTGCAGAGGAGCCTGGGGCCCTGCTGGTTAGGCGGGGAGGCTTCACTGCTAATTCTGGAAATTTGGACAAGGGACCCATTGAGCTGTCGGGTCATCCTGCAGTTCCCCCTCCACTCCTGGGATAAGGGTCCTGGGCGCAGCCCCACCTCCACCCTCCACACTCAGCAGCTTTGACAAGAGGTCCGGGACTCTCACCTACCACAAGGGGGAGGTGGCCCAGGCAATGGGTGATTGTGCGCAATTATGTCACATAAGTGAATGGGAGGGAAGGACCCTGGGGTCTGAGACACGGGGCAGCTTCCGGGTCCGGAGGACTGGACCCCGCTTCCTGACCCCTGGAGAAGGGCTCTCCGGCCGCTTCCAGTTCATACCTCGGCTGGCAGGAGGGGCGCTGCACGGCGCATCCGAGGCTCCCGCGGCCTGGGGGCCGGCCCAGACCGGGAGAGCGCGCCGTCCCCCTCACTCCGCCGTCCCCACAGCCCCCGCGGCCGGCGCGTACCTGCGCTCCAGCCGGCGAGGTCCCAGGAGCCGGCTCTGTGCGCGCTGCGGGCCTGGGTTCCCGCCGGCGCGTTTCCGGGCGGGCTGGGGCTCGGCGCCACCCCCTCCGGTTCCCGCCCCGTCAGAAAGCGCCCGTTGCTCGCGCCTGGGGTCCACGGGCCAAGCCCTCAGGGTTCCTCCCGACGCCGCCCTCTGCTGGCCTGCATCCTGGAGACGCGGACGCCAACCCCATCTGCCAGGCTGCCCGTCCAGCTGCCCCCGGTTTCCTGTTAGCCCGCATCCGTCTGGGCCCACCGGCCACCGGGGGAGACCCAGGTGCGCGCCACGAAACCCGCCTTTTCAAAGGTGGGAAGGAGCAGGGGCTTTGGAGGCTGATGGCTGTCGCTGCTTCACACCCACTCGCTGCCAGAAGCCAGAGCTCGGGAAGCGTGTGTGTCCTTCCGCTGCCAGCGCGAACGTGCTCTCAGGCCCTGCAGAGAACCGACAGCCAGCTCCCATAACCCTACTTTATGGGCAATCACGAAGGGCCAGGTGCTCCAGGAGGCTTCCCCACATGCTGCCCCCTTCAATGTTTGTCTGCATCTCATAAGGGAATGCTGACGAAAAATATCCAGCCTAAGAGAAAACTTATAAGAGTTTGAGTCAGAGAACTTATAAGGGTTTATTTGAGCCAAACTGTCGACAATTGCCGAGAAGCAAAATCTCAACGGATTGAGAAAATGCTCCGCAAAATAGCAGTTTGCAGTTTATTTTATACATAAAATCAAAGGAGGAAGGTTACATGAAATCCACTGGTGATAGATGAAGCGGGTGGGAGAAAAGAAAGTGGGGAACTCTCTGGGATTGGATAAAAGCACACTGGAGAGACAGGTACTCCTCCCACACAGGTGGGTGCAGGATAGCTAACAGTTCACTCTCTTTTTTTTTTTTAACTTTTTTTTTTAGCTGAGCCATCCTGCCACCTGTTGGCAGCTCACGGCTGCTCAGCTCGGGCTGACTCGAACTGCTGTTGCTCAGAGCTCAAACTCTTGAGCGAGCTCTTAACCAACTGAGCCACTCAGCCGGCCCTAACAGTTCACTCTTTACAGCACATTGAGATGGTAATCCGGAGACAAGCATGATAATGAGGAATTTTGCAGTTTCCAGCTCTGGTCTGGAAAAAAGATTAAAGTTATCTTAGGTACAAAAAGACAAAACACAGACAGGCCCACTGAAAAGGCACAAATTAATTTGATGAGGAAGCTCAAGATGTGACTTCCCGCCATGGCCCACCTTAGTTAAGAATTTTTATGTTCGGGCCGGCTGAGTGGCTCAGTTGGTTAAGAGCTCGCTCAAGAGTTTGAGCTCTGAGCAACAGTGGTTCGAGTCAGCCCGAGCTGAGCAGCC